TCTGTTGTCTCATTTGCAGTATATTTTCTTTCTTTATAGGGTAATCTTTGTTGAACATTATGTCCTAGAGGTTTTTTCCCAGTACCACAGGCACTTATAAGCAAAACAAATAATGATTTGTAAGTTTTTAATAAAGGAGAAATGGGGAAAAAACATTATAGGATAGTTTTTTGTTTGTTTTGCTGTTAACCTATTAGAAAACCAAATTCCTTAAATTTCTTTTTCCCAACTCTGATGTGATTTAAATCTTTAGATAAAAAAGAGAAAAGAGGACTACTACATTAAATGGCAAGGGAAGAAAATGACCTTTGGTTAAACTGGTTTCCATCACTGTGAATCTTACTCAGATTTTTAAGTTACTTTACTTCAATCAATTCTGTTCTAATCAAAATCACTTATTATTTCTAAGAACTTAACAAACACCTTTTTTGGTAATTAGAAATATGATATATTTATAAGAGCACCAGAAAAATCTAAGTTATCCACAACTTACTAGAACCATGATTAGTAAAGTTAAATTCAGGCTTTACAAATAATTTCAACCTTTAGGAAACTTTTTTGTTTTTTTGTTTATCTTATTTCTAACTGTAAAAAGCTAATAAATGAATGAAAAATCTTAATTTACTTAATAACAAGAAGGAAATTTGGCACTACTATATTAGATTTGCAAACATTTTTTAGGAAATTAGCAGTCAAAACAAACACAAAAACAGGACAATTCTCATAGCCAACTATGACCTACTTGGCCTTTGCTGCCTATAAGGTATAGTCCAGACAAGTTGAAAAAAGCATTAAGTATCAGTTTTACTAAATGTTACACAATTATTTCATAAGCTTCTACCCTTCCCCACTTCTCCTCTCACTGAGCCCAGCAACTTTTCAGTCTAAATATTTATCACCACACTCTCCCATATTCTACTTTGTTCCTTCCTCAACATAATCTTTTAGTGGTTTTGTCTCCATGGTGACACTGATAGCACTTTATAATGTGGTAAATTTAATAATGCAAGGAACTAACCTAAAAGTGATTTTATATTTAAATAAGGTTTACCAAATACCAATGTTTTGTTAATTTTTTTTTAATTCCCACGCTGCCAGATACCTGAAAAACATTCTGACCCTGATGTAACTGATGTTTGTAATGGAAAAAATTGTTCAGTAACAACTTTGACCTGTGTTTATTGATTAATACCTTTAAAAGGTTATTTGCTATTTACTTTTTGTGTAGATTTGATAAATGGCTATTTACTTTTTGTTTCAGCTGATCAAAAACATGTCAAAATAAAATGTCATCATTGTAATAATCTGACTTCCCTACCAAGACTATCTCTCCTAATCCAAGTTGAGCACGTCCCAAAGTTTGCCAAGACTCCCATGAGTGTGGATTTCTCTGGACAGCCATTTCTGCAGCATGAACTGCTGGGAACATTTCATGAAGAGACATTAGGACCTACAGCCAAGAAAGAAAAAACAAAATCCATCAGTAATAGTCATAAACTTGCAAACTAAAAATTAGAAAAAAAAACAGGATAAATGTATGAAAACAACTCTTTTCATTTTTAAAAATATATTTTTAGTCTGGTAAACATACCATTTCTGTGGTTTTTGACCCCCTCCTCTGCTATTAAAGGTTAGAAATTATATTCTTCCTACCTGAAATAACTATGAAAAATATATATCACTTCTTTTTCAATTATTGAACCCTATTGTTTATCTAGTAAAAACCAGGTGGTCATATTCTGGCCATGGTGGCTCAGAGCTATTTGAACTCTCAATTTCCCTCCTATTTATTCTAATCACAATATGGTTTTTAGGGAACTCTGGCTCCTGCTGTCAATTAGATAAATTTAAATTTCTTCAACCACCAATCCTGTCCCTAGTGAACATCCTCCTGCTATAAAAATCATTTAAACACTCCACCAGCCTCCTCACAACTGGGTTCTTCAAACCATACAAATCAGAAAAATCAGGGAGTTCCAGAATCTTCCACTTCAATTTATGCGAAAGGGCTGGATTTCATGTGTAATCTCTGAGACCATTCACATTTCAAAAGATTTGTGACACAACCATCATTATCAGGTTCCAAATTAAATAACTCATTTCATACAGTTTGTCACAAATCCTACATTTAATATATACATATTCATGACTGAAAATTAGACATATCCAAATGAAGGTCCTCACAGCACTTCATTTGGTGGATATAATTTATTCAGGTTTTTCCTGCATAAACTGAAAGCTAAAAAAGGATATGCCCTATGTTGGGGGTCAGCATCTGAAAGGTATCTGTTACACGGTGTGCAGATCGAGGCTGAACTGCAACTATTCCCTGTCAAAAGTACGTTTGATGCTCTGTTTGAGATTTTAAGTCTCTGGGATGATCTAATACAAGTGCTCAGAGGTTTTCTTTATGAACTTTCCCACAAAATACTAGAAACGTATTTTTAAAAACAAATGTTGTTTTTAAACTATTAGCAAATTGAGTCTATTCTGACCTTTTGCTAGCTAAGGACTAAGCCATTTCTAGAGAAATTATCATTTAGAATCTAATCCATCCTCATTCTGAAGAGACAGAGTTATTAATATACACACTACAGTTAATATCCAAGGAAAGCTAACACATATAAAGAGATCACCAGTTACTTTTCTAAAGATATCCATCTGCTCAAATCTCATCCAGAGTTTAGGTTGAAATAAAAGTTAACTTCACTGTGAAGGTAAACAAATTTCTTAATTTGATGCTTAAGGAAGAGCCATAAATAATATGGTGACATATGTTTTTCCCAAATAAACTGCATTTGAAAGAGAAAATGGGAGGAAACACTTTTGGGTCATCACTGCTCACCAAACACAGTGCAAAATGAAAGTGAAGTTCTTCATAATCATTACCTGTGATTTCATCTCATACAGGGTAGCATCATTTGGGGTTAACTGTAGTGCTTCATCCCACTTCTGAATCGCTTCTCGATATCTATGGTTGTTAAGGTTACATTAATATCATATTTTCAGTAATTCTTTGAAAGTACATGACCAAGTTTAAAAATCAGATACTAAGGAATAATTGTTTATAAAGAAATAGCTCTATTCAAGAACTGATAATGATGATGTTACAAAAGCAGAAAAATTTAAGAGATGAAAGGAAAGGACAGTAAAGGAGAAAAAAGCAAAATATAAATAAAAAAGACCTTGGAAATCTTTCTCCAAGATTTTATTTTCTGGGCTAAGAAGTCACCACCAAAATGTTTTTTTCCATCAATGTCTGCGTATGTTGTCACTCATTTTAAATGCAATACAAAGGATTTCTCTCAAGAATTTATAATCCAGTTGCAACTGTTGGCTCTACTGCAGCAATCTAGCTGACCCAGATGACAATTTAAGATGCTGCCAGGTCATTTTGTAAAGATTCTTCAGTTTTCAATTCCTATAAGCTCCATGAGCACAGGGACTATGTCTTGTTCATCACTATCAATATACGGTAAGTTTATAAGAAATGAGCCACATGAATGAAAAATAGTATGAAGACAGTGATTTCCACTATCACCTTTTCACTGATGCTCTCCCAGTCATGACTCTTTTGAGCTAACATCTCCACCTAGATGCCAAATAGACACCTCAAACTCAATATGCCCCGAACTGATCTTAACATATTCATGCCAAATCTGCAGAAGCACAGCGTAACTTTTTAAAAAAAATAAAATTAAAGAATGACTAAGTCCTACATGTTATCCAAGGCAGTCATCTTCATAGCATCCTTCCCAAGTGGTTAACTTATGTATACTTGAATATTTCTAGGAGAAAGTTCAAATTACCAGAACATTCTTCATTATTAATGACATGAAACTTTCTATCCTGTACCTTTCCCTCAGAGCTACTCATTCTCCTTTGTAAAGCTAAGCGGAAAATAAATAATCCACCAATTTTCATTCCTAGCTACATACAGATGATTTAGGGAGGTTTTGGAGGGGAAACACACACACACATGCTGGTTCCTGCCTCAGATCAATAAAAACAAATTCTTGGAGTAGGGCCCAGGCATCTGTACTTTTTAAAAGTTCCCCAAGTTATGCTAATAAAAATCAGGGTTGTGAACCACTGATAATATCTCTCATAGGATATTATGCCCCATCATGCACTGCCTTCTCTTAAATCACTCTTTGTTACCTTTCATTTCCTCTGTACATAACTTCCTATCTATTATGTAAAGATCCAAACCAAACATAACAACCAAAACATGGGCTGATCTGCACTGATTATTATTTAAGAAGGGAGTAGAAAACTAAAGAAAGAAAGGCAGAATTTGGTAGAAAATACAAAGTTAAAGAACACAAAAAAAGTACACTCTGTTTTCACCTTGCTAGAGCATTCCTTTACTAGTAAATAATTCAAATGGGCAATACCATGTCCAGGATCTTATGCCATCATGGCAAAATGGCAAAAGGGCTTCAGCCATCTTAGAATAAGTTTGCCACATTGCCAACCGCAGGCTAGCAGCAGGGGTGAAGGTGGACAGGAGTGCACTTTATAAAGCCTGCCTGAACTGCCACATGGGTTGTAGCAATGGTTACTGTTATTCTGTAGCAGCAGACTATGGATAACTGTAAACTGAAGATTCATTCCACAATAGCTGGCACTCTATGTTTCCAGACAAATCACATCTGAATATGCAGATTATCAGAACTACTGTTAATAACTTCTTCCCTAATAGGGACGCTGGCTGAGTCCTGAGGAGATATTTGTCTGAAGACTGTGTTTAAAGCTGGGTGAGAGACTACTCGAATTTTAGGAACTACCAATGATTTGAAGACATTGTGACCATTATTGACCTCATTTTTAAGATGTGCTACAACAACGCTGTATGTTTTTCCCTGCCTCTACCTATCCGCAATATTCTTATGTTATGAATCAAATCTCTAAGAGTTTTACTAAGTGAAAATTACTTCTCTATCAAAGATTTTGCCAAGCTCAAGCGTTTGTTTAGAGCCAGGATCCACAAGTGGGACGTAATAGTGGAGACAGGCGTCTCACTGGCTGCTGTCCCCTTCCATCTCACCTCCTTCCACCTCACCCAGAGATCCCTTTGGAGTGCCGCACACACCGCTCTGCTTCCCACGGACTCTGGCACTCTGCAGTGTCAGGCTATGCCCACTTGCCGGGCCTGCACAATTCTCCATACAAACTCTGCGAAGTAGCTGGTAGACATAGGTTGGCTAAACCACTGTGTACCACTGTCCACTTCTACTTACCCTTCATGGGAATCTGAGGTTCACAGTTATTTTAAAATAATTCTCATGTCAATGTCAGCTTAGATCTGCCTAGTGCACTTCAAAGCAAGCCATTTAAGAATCTTTTCAGGTACCATTAAAATTCTTTATTTGTAATTTCCAATTACTCTATTAAAATACCATCAACTATACAGAATTAATTAACTAGCTGCTTCTGTAGCATCACCACCTAACAGACAATACTGCTTGGATTAATATACTGACCCCTAAAGGGGCCCGTTCTTATAGTCTTTCCTTTCCCAGCCCCTCAGGTAAAACAGCCTCCTTTAACCCAAATGTACTTTTAAAAAAAGAAAGATGGAAGAGAAAAGATAGAAGGACTTCACCTGGTATCAACTGAGCGAAACCAAAAAAAGAAAGAAAAAAAAGGAAAAAGAAACATACAGAGAAGGAAGGAGAAAGTCTGAATTCTACTAGTGGACTCTTAAACAGGGATTAAAAAAAAAAACCAAAAAACACCACAGCTTGTGGACAGGAGGGAAAGAGGAGGAAGACAAGGTCTGCAGATCCCAGTGGACCTCATCCTTCTTTGAGCTACACATGTATATCTATTAAGGCAGCCCAAGACTTCACATCTATACTGGCAACTAAAATACAATGATGGCTTATATTGCATATTCAACATTTTTTTTAACACAAACTGTTCTTAAAAGAAATCAGGTCTTCCTTATATTTATTACCTGAGTAAATGACACCTGCTTTGATATACAAAATTGTTTCCTGGGTATACAAATAGAGAAGAATCAGATAACAGAGGAAAGTGCCCCCCTCCACACACGATTTCACCACCCAAAGATGATAACTACAGTTAATACAACATTTTATTATATATACTTCCAGTTTATCTTAATATAACGTATATAACACACACAAAACATTTTTCTCAGGTCTTGAAATCATCAAATGCTTCTCTCTACAGCATAATGCTTAAAGACTGATTACTACTATTCCAATGCAAACTTCATTCAAATGGATCGTCTATTGTTAGACATTAAAAGTCACCCTTTGGTACAAATTTCCAGTTATAAGATGAGTAAGTTCTAGAGATATAATGTACAGCACTATATGGAGACTACAGTTAACAATACTGTATTATTTACTTGAAAGTTGCTAAGAGTGTGAATCGTAAATGTTCTCACCACACACAAAAGTAATTTTGTGAGGTGACAGATGTGTTAACTAACCTTATTGTAGTAATCATTTTGAAATATATACATGTATCATATCATCACACTGTACA